ACTCTCTTTCTCTTTCTTTCACATTTTACGTGTATATGAAAGGAAATATACGACTGAAAAAAGTGCTCGTCTCATGAATTAGACCTTCCGACTACTAAGCATGAAATAATTCGTATGTAAAATGGGGAAAAACATTGAAACATTCGAAAAGAAGGCGGGGAGTCGGAGGTAGGGAAGGAAAAAAAAGGAATAAAGAAAAAAAAAAGTATTCGTTTGTATTAAGACGCAAAAACACGAACGACATTCTAATGAAGGAAAGCATTTAGAAATATCTAAACGCATGTACACGTACCTCTAATCTTAATATAAAATGAAAAAATTCCGACCTTTTACCATTTCCCTTTTATTCTTCTTTCTGTTTTTATTCTTGTTTTTCTTTTTTCTTTTCATTCATACGACGAATTAAAATTTTAATTAAATTTAATACTGGTTCGCGGTACTGTTTAAAAAAAAAAAGAGACAAAAAAAATGGATAAAATATAAAATAACACAAAGCAAAATCAATAATCCACATTTCGAATTATTGAAAAATAATTGTATTATAATGCATAAGAATATGATCTTTTTAGAGTACACTCATTTTCTTCTGTAGCTCTTTTAACACGTTAACTGCCGTGTCACCCGTATTCGGGTGACAGCAAAAGTTCTCATCAGGCCACGTCACCCGTATTCGGGTGACAGCAAGAGTTCTCATCAGGCCACGTCGGGTGACTCCTTNTCAATAGTATCTTCATAATATTCATTATCACTAAGATTGCATTTATCCGTATCCGTATCAGAATCTGATGATATGATACGATTTACTTTTCTTCTTTTGGGCAATCTGATCACTTCCTCATCGCTGCTATCCGAATTTGAGCAACTAGCGTGACTAGTCTTCCTTTCACTGCAATATGAATCACTGCACACTGACTTTTTCATCTTTCTCTTCACTATTGAAAAATTATGGGCAGAGATATTAGTTGTACTACTCAGTACACGGCAAAGATTACAACTGCTCGTGCAGAGTAATAACGTGATAAATGAGGATCGTAATAGATATCGGGGTTTCTTTTTTTTTCATTATTCATTTTTTTCATTATTCATTTCATTATTCATTCATTTTTTTCATTTCGAAAGAAATGTAAACAGACATGCGGTAGCAGAGCACGCATCTTACAGTGGCACGGGTGGCCTGACGGGGATTTTGTTGTAAACACGCGTGGCAGTCAACGTGTTAAACAGTAAGAAATAGAGAAAATATAAAGTAATAAAAGTGAAATCAATCATATACATTTCCTTAACAGTTTATAAGAAAATAATTAATGTATTATAAATCAAAGAAAATATAATATTTTTCAAGTAGACCTATTTTCTTTTCTCTTTTCGCTTTGATGCTTTAACTGTAGGAACACCGTTAAACAAATTCTACGATATTTCGAATTTTTCTTTTTCTTTTAACTTCGGCAACCGTTAGCGATGGATATATCGATTATAGGCTGGTGCTACTGGTGTGCTGGAAGTCAGGCAGGCATGGATATTTCTCGTGGCATTTGAATTTCAAGCCCCGACGCGCAAATAGATTCAATTTTTAACGAGCCGTGTTGTCCGTCATGTGCATTTGCCTCGGTGCGTCATCGTCGTACGAACTGAATAATGTCGCACCCTCCTGCCGTACATATCCGGTCCATAAATATAGATGAGTCGGCTATTGTAAATTCATCGATTTTTCGGTAGAACCCGATGGAAGATCTCGAACGAGTGAGAAAAAGAGAGAAAGAGAAAAAAAGAAAAAGAGACGGGTTGAAAAAGCGAAGGAAGATCGATGCTATTTGCAAAGAGGATCATTTACGTAGATCAGATCAGATTCATTTGCATCACAGATATATTTTTCGGTAGAAGAATATTTCGATGAATTATGAAAATTTTCAAGAAATAAAATTTAAAAAAAAAGAAGAAGAAATCGACTGTGTCTCGAATATAACAGCGTTTGTATCTATACCAAGTAGTCTGTAAAATCGATAGTGCTGGTCATAAAAATATAGTAAAATTAATGTGTGTGTGTGTGAGAGAGAGAAAGAGAGAGAGAGAGAGAGACACAATAAAAGATATGGGTAAAAGAGTTAAGGTAAAAGGAAGGAAGGAAGAACCAGGACAGTGAAGTTGAAAATGAAAAAAATAGTCATAAAATTTCGTGCGAAACGGAATCGAGTGAGCCGAGGTTAGAATTAAGGTGAATGCGAGTGGAAAGAGGAGAAGAGGTAGCGGTAGATGAACGAGGTCGGACATTATCGGGAGGGTCCATAAATTCAAGAAGATTAGTCCAGGGCGAATCTTTTACGGTCTAAAAGGATCGTACAAAATATTACAAGTCTTTGAACGCTTTAATACCTTTTAAACTACGATTCTGATGTACATTATGCGCATTTTCTCTATGAAAAAAAAACGTAGCTTTTTATTGTATCATCGAAAGATTAATTTCTTCTTAGAATGTATGTCGTATCTATAATTAGAAGTAAGTTATCGTTAACTTGCAAAAGGTTCATTAAAGTGTTAAGTAGACAATTATTAAGAAAAAAGAAAATGATTCGCTAACGAAACCATCTGAAAAAGTTTGAAGGCAAATGATTCCAATTAAAATGTAAAATAAAATCAAATAAAAACGCAAGAATAAAGCAATTTCTCCTACATCATTCTACTCGTTTGCTCTGATGGCATTGAGTTAAAAGTAACTCTTTTAAAGCAAGTTCAAGTTATCCTAAGGTCATTTTCGAAGTAGATAAATTTTTCTTAATAACATCATAAGCGATAGGGTGGTACGGTTTTACCGAAATCGGACCAGCAAAATCCTCGTTACCGGGATAATCTGCTCGCATTTTTATTAATCATCATTAACTCCTTTAATCGTTAGAGAAGCCGACCGCTATATGGAACTACATTTTAATACCCTCGGGTTCGTATTTTTCTCTATTTTCATGCGCGATGTAATCTCCTCGTTCGATTCATTAACAAACGCAGAATAACAAAAAAAAAAAAAAAATAAAGAGAGATAGAAAAAAAACAAGAAAACTCGTATACACATTTGTGTACGCTTTTTATTTTATACTATTATATATATATATAAAAGCCAAATTTATTTGAATAAAAATTTATCAATATTAAAAGTGAAAAAAAATGTAACTTATGATCAAATATTTTGTAAGATGATATTGTAGGATACAATAGATGACTATCTTATCGAATTGTTTAGGATTACAAGATAGCGACTACTAAAAAGATCTTATGACACTCAGTTTCCGAGAACAGAAATGTTTCTTTTGTGAGTGGACACGTTATGTTTATTGCGTCAGGACTCGTTCTAAGATCGCCATTGTGATAATATCAAATATTTATCTTATAATTAGAATCGACAATTAAAATCATACCAAAGATATAGAGACTGCCCTCTCTTTCTCCCCCATCCCACCCTCGTTTAGGACTAAATGCACACAAGGGTAACCGACTCCATTGTTATGTGTTGATCATAAAACCCTTGTCCGTGTTTATTTTAGAAAGAGCTGGTCCTTGCTACATTTTAAGTACACAAAATTTATCGCAACAAAGGAATTTCGAGAAAAATCGAAAGACGTGATACCTAAGCCAGTGCAATAAGAAAAACCGAAGGAAGAACAACTAAATTCTTAACACATTCGCGTCGGATGACGCTTAATGTCGTCATTTAAGATTTTCACTTGGGAGCGGATGACGCTTTATGTCGTCATTTAAGTTATCGTCTAACTATTCTTTAAAAATATTATTTTTTCTCCACTTATTACTAGATTTTTTTCATATGTAGACATTAATAATAAAGTGAGGAATGTTTTCTCAATAATATGCCTTATCGTTGCTTCCTTTAGACGTTTATCTATACTTATTCATTGTTTAGCCGATGCTAATCGTATCCAGTATCTGAGCCCTGTAAATAAGTACTCTGTGTTGTTTTCGATTATCGCTCTACAAAGAGAAATATCCTCAAAATATATTCTCTTTTTTATTTATTCAAAAGATATTTAACTAAGATTTTAGGAAAATTGGAATGGAATATTACTCAGTATCAGCTTTGCTACTGAAACAGAAATATTCTCTTCGTAACTTCCAACAATATTAGATCCCGTCTAAAAAGTACAATTTATAGAAATTTATTCAATAATTTACTATTTGTGAATAATAAAAATTAGGTGTCATATTTTTCTAAAAATCCCTCAAAATGGAGGAAGAATTTCTTTCGGAGACATATGAAGATTCATTATCAGATCTCGCTGAAAATGAAAGTGACAGTGAAGATTCTGATATTGATGTGTAGGAGCAGTAAAGTTCCTCTACATATTGAAAAATGTTTTCAAGCATACCATACCAAAAAAAAATATTAACTTACAATATACATATAGCAAATAAAATTTGAAAATTATTAAAAAATATATTATATTTATAATTGTAATAAATAATAAAAATATTTAGAAGTATAATTTCAAATCCTCATTATTGTGTATAAATAAGCCCTATACTCCCTTTTTTAAAATTTATTACTGAAATATTAATTACATAAAAAGTTATAGCAATTTTTCTAAACCTATGCGCGATTGTAACGATTGGCCAAAAACGGCCCTGTTCCTGCGGTAAGTACAGCCAGCAACGCCCCGACGCGAATGTGTTAACAGAAACCGAGTACCACGCTAATCTTCATTGTAACAGAATAACATAATATATCTTTAATTATTAATAATTAAACTTGTGTTTTTCGTATACTATCTCCTTCTGTCCTTATAATGTAGAAGTTTAGAAGATTAAGCTGTTATAGTAATGCAGTTGAAAAAACGCTTTCATGTGTGCTTTCACAGTACGGAAAACCAGGATTATTTCATGACGGGTACTAACATAATTCGTTTTGTTTTATACAGTCACCAATCAGAGACTGACGAGAATGTAATTCGTACCTTTTCGTTCGTTATATTACATATTTTTATTTAAAAATAAACGTCATATTTTTATTTTAAACCACATGTTATTGATTTTCGCTCCTCACTCTCTCCTCATTCTTACAATATATTAACCAAATGGAAATACAAAGAAAAATAATGAAACAGAGAAAGTGATTGAGAGAGAGACAGAGAGAGACAGTTTAGTAGATAACCAGATAATCCACTAAATCAGCAATTAGTATACATTGGAATAATTAACGCCGATTTCTTCTTAAGCTTTTAGAGAGAGAATTTGGTGATGCTTCTCATTTACAAAGATGAATTGTTCGTGTTACGCGATAACTCGACAAATGGGCTTTGATTGCAAACTGGAGGAAACAAAGGAAAAGAAATCGTTGTACCTATAAACGCCAATATGCGTATTGTATGTCGTACCTATTAATCACATTTAAAATTTCATGCAATATAATTTTCTATTTAACAATCGTTAGTTGATTTCGTTCGAATAAATGAAATTTTTCGTTACGAACTATCGCAATAACTTTCTGTAGATCCACCCTTTGGAATGTTATACGTGGATAGACTTATATATATATATATATATAGAGAGAGAGAGAGAGAGGTATGCGCACGGTTCGAGTAGAAATAAAAAGAGTATGAGTAAAAGGCGTACATCGAATTCGATGCTTTTCGTTATTCACTTGGAGCAATATCTCAGGTCTCGCGAGCTATTCTTCCGTTCGACGTCTCGACGCGTCGCACTTCCATTGTTCGTCGACGTATGGATATTTATTACAAAATGGCAGGGAACACCTACGTAGGGGTTATATATATATATATATTTATTGTTTAAGGTATGTGTATGTGTATATACATACAGAGAGATTGCTGCTTCAGGGCATAGCAGCTTTTTACGATCATTTCACGAGCGTATACTCTTCGATAAAGGATCCACGCCCGTTTCTTTTCTTCTATTCAATTCATCCGTGCGTATTGTGGCCTGTCTGGTCGTGCCATTGCCTTTCTAAGGAAACATTTTCAACATATAAGGTATATACTTGATGTTTTGCCGCCTCATCGAGTTACTACTTTTGTCCAATGAAACATACATTTTTTTTTATATAACTCCCAATAATATTCTTTTCTTTTCTTTTTCTCTGTGATTGTTATATTCACTTTAAACGCCGAATCGAATTTATATTCAATTTAAAGTTTAAACCAATAAAAAGAAATCGTTATTGATTGTTAATTGATGATCGAATTTATCTTATTTAAGTCTTATTTGAAAAGGTCTAGAAGAACATTTATTTTTTCTTTTTTTTTCTTTTCGTAAATCGTTAGCCGATCAACTCCATGAGATTGTGTGAAAATGAAAAATCGAATCAAACGGGGAAACGATTTAACATTACGAAATGAATCACTAATATTTTCTTTCCGTTTCTCCCTTTGCATACTTAAGCATTAGTTTAATTAACCTCGAGGTAGAAAAGGAGTTCGGGAACAGCTTCTTCCTGAGGATGGAAACTCTAGAGAATACAAAGAGTTTATCGTAGAAGAAATTCCGAGCTTCGTTCGGAGCTTGCTGAAGGGCCAATATGGATGGTGAGAGAAGCTCTGCGATATCTTCTTAATGAAATGGGTTTGAAATTGATTGAGTACACTCGATACGCGACGCCGTTCAATATTCCTTTCTCGAAGAGGAAAGTTACCGTTAGAGAAACTGTCGAAAAAGTCTCGTGCTTCGAAGCCAATGTTTGGATGGATGAATGAATGAAGATTTCTTCTATTTTGTTTTATTTTTGTTTTTAAAAATATAATTTATTTATACAAAACGAGAAGATTAGAAACAATAGTTATGTTAATTTTTTGTTAAATTGTTTTATTTATCATCTTCTCTCAAAAGTAACATTTGTTTTTTTTTTATATTTATTTTATATTATTTTTCTTATTTATTTATTTGTCTTTTACAATTAGTGAATCTAAAGTAACGTTATATTACTAGAGTCAATTTAAACTTATCAGTCTCGATTCTATAGGGAGACTGGTAAAAATAAGATCGCTATTGAACATGAAGAAGTTGTAGAAGCCCTCTGTCACGGTCAACTAATGGAATTAGATAGGATTATCCGGAGACAAGAGTCGTAGAGAGGAAAAGTTAAGTTAACGCTGATACTAACGTTAACTGAATTATCCGTCTACTTACTTCTTTTCAAAAACTATCGATGCAATCAATAAATCAATAAATCGAGACGACTATGAAGTACGTTTATAAGGAACTTTTAACTATTAGATTGGTAGAGATACTCTTAAGAAATATGACGACATTATAATTATTATCGCTTGGTTATATAACCAAAACCAACCTGTCTTTCCGTCTTTCTATCTCTTACGTATGGCTTTTATTACAATGAAGAGATTGTTATTAAACGACTGGGACAAAAATACGAGCAAGAAAAAAGAAAACGGAAACGAGACGGGTAAGCGTCGTGTTTGTTCTTTAATCGAAATTCATTTTACGAAGATAGAGAAACCGAGCATACTACTTGTAGAATGAGAAAAAGAAAATAAAAGATACAAAAAATGGGAGTGATAAACAGACCATATTAGAAGAAATAGAGGAACGAGAAAAATAGAAACAATAGAAAGGTAGAATTCCACGTGTTACTACGTCCTTTACTGACGTCCACGCGACTAACTGTGATCGTTAGTGGAAACAAATTACGAAGAATTACATTCTTGTACGAATATTAAGTGCTCCCCTTTAAGAATACCGCTCGTTTATTCTCCGCTCGAATTTTCTCTTTCTCTTTCTCTTTCTCTTTCCCTTTCCTTCTTCTTTTATCTATTATTTATGTTATCTGACTTTATGTAGCAAACGTGCTTTAAGCTTGCTCGCTGCCGTATATACCTTTATTTCTTTTTCGTATGTATAACTCGTAGAGAGATTCTGTGTTGTATTTGCCTTGTATTTGCCACATATTGCTATGAGCATGAATATCTAAAATAAACAGAGCGCAATTTATAATTGGAAGTATTGTGGTTATTTATTTATTTCCCAGATAAACATATATAAATATATAGATACGTAGAGATATACGTGAGAAAAAAGAAAAAGAAAAAAAACAGAGAAGGAGGGGTGGAAGAATACGTATGTGTTATTACGTTTCTTGGTGGCCTGTAGTTAATTAAAGTCAGTCAACGAAGCCGGCTCGACATATATACGCATTATCATAAATCAATTCGAGAATGCAGTATCAACTCGACACCAACGAACTTGGTGTGTGCAGCATGAATACTAATTACGAACGACTACCAATCTCCTCTCTCTCTCTCTCTCTCTCTCTCTCTCTTTCTCTTTTAATCTTTACTTCAACACCGTCCCGGAAACAGTTAGTTGATCTATTTCAATATACCCAGTATAGGATAGTATAAATATAAAGAAAATTCTTCTACGTTTGACTCATCCTAATTTACACATTTGGAGGTAGCCACGCGGTCAAACTCTCGCTCGCGTGCCTTACGCTAGAAACATTAACATATGAACGGCTTCGATACGATGTATATAGGTAGTAGAGCATTAGCGAACAATATTCATATGGAGATTTCACTTGAAGAGTATTATGGATCTAACAAGCCGTGGCTAAGCTATTTACATAAATGCCGACATCCGGCATGATTTAGTTCGACGGATTTCGTCGACCACCGAGCAGCGTGTCGAGAGAGGCCTCCAAAGTGGGAGACGTTAAAACCGTTTACCACCTGTCCTGATCGAAGTACTATTTCATCTTGGCATCGTGTGGGTATCCTCTTTCACTTTGTACATGTGTGTGTGTGTGTGTGTGTGTGTGTGTGTGTGTGTGTGTGTGTGTGTGTGTGTATCCATCCTACCTACTTGCGTTTGTGTCTACCTATGTTACCGAGCTAATGCGACGGGAAGCTTCAACGAAATTCGCATCCATTTTAAGGACGAAATGGGAGATAAACGATCGCCTACCTTCGACCTGTTACGTGTTTCGAATAAGTGGAGTAGTCACTCTTTGCTCGGACTACCCTAACTCCTCAACGACATTCCTCTTCGCTTTAATTACACAGTACGTTAAAATTTATGTATTAGGTTGAGGAAAAAGTAATCCATTATTTTTTTGTTAGATGACCTTAGTTATTGATATCTTATAAAATATCAATTAAACAATTTCAAATTTATGTTTGTTAGAAAGGTGACATTTAGAGCTAACAAAAATTCCTTTACTGTTTTTTGTTTGGTCCATTCAGTGTTGAGTTACAGTATGTTAAAAATGAAAGTCAACAAAAATAAAATTCGGTACATTTCACACGTTTTCCTTTTATAAAGACGAAAATGCAAGCCAGGCAGCTGAAATTGTGAATGGTGTTTATGCTCTCAATACTTTAACACATAATTACGTGCAAGTTTTGTTTCGTCGATTCCGTCCAGATATTTTTGATGTTAAATATGTACCTCTCACAGGTAGACCCTAGCATTGCCCAGAAGCTAAAGATCGATCATAAAACAGTTTTAAACTCTTTGCAAAAAGCTGGATTCAAAAAAAAGCTGGATTTTTGGATGTTACACTAGTTAACACAAAAATAAATGATGGATCGAGTTTCCACCTGCGAAGCCTTAGCCAAACGGAATGAATTCAACCCATTTCTTAAACGAATAGGGGCTGGAGATGAGAAATGGATCACATACGACAACATTGTGCGAAAACGATCGTGGTGATGAAGCAGCTCAAACTGTTCTGCTGTGCACTTGGCGGGACTGGAAAACAATTATTTATTAGGAGTTGCTTAAATATGGCCAAACACTAAATTCGAATCTTTACTTTCAACAATTGTACCGTTTAAAGCAAGCGATTGATCAGAAACGGCCGGAATTGTCTAACAGGAGAGATGTTGTGTTCCATCAGAACAACGCCTAGTCACACATGTCTATAGTGACTCCCCAGAAGCTCCTAGAGCTTGGTTGGGAAATTTTGATGCATCCATCATATAATCCAAACTTTGTACTAAGGGATTACCACATTTTTCTTGCATTGCAAATAGTCCGGGAGCTAGCAACGTTTTCGAGAGAGAATTGTGGGTAAGCTGATTTTTTGATATGTCGTTCTTCTTGATCTTTCGGTTAGAACCTGCACTACTTGGCTGGCGGTAGGTCTTGCTTTTTACTAGTGCGCATCCTACCTATACAGGTAATAATCCTAGATTTTAAAAGAATTTTGAGAAGCCTAATTTTCTATTTATTGACTTTAGATAGATTTATTAAACATAAACTTTTTATTGCCATGAACTTTTCCCATTACTAAATATCTGCCATATTTGATTTTTTTTTTTAATAAAAAATTACAAGTATCTTGGTATGCATGTAATTTTAATATTATGTTATTTAAGTATACAGAAATCTAAAATTAATTTGCCAAGTGTTTATTCGGTTGTTAAACCTAGAATAAGAACGGCAAACTTATGAAAAGTATTGCAGTATGATGCTGTAGTTAGAGAGAGACAGTTCTGAATGCAAAAGAGATAAACAGCCTCGGTAGCGCAACTGGCAAGTTTACAAGATGGTGTTCAGTACCAAATCTTTTGTAGACGATAAACTTTATATTTGTTATTTTTTATAATATTCAATTTCTGTGAAACAGATCCTGCGATAAGCCTATGAAATAAAATATTATAAAATACAATAGGCAGCAGATATAAGGTATAGTTTACCTAAATATTAAGAAATTCCAAAGGGCTATAAATTCCCAAACTATCTCAATGATCAAAGGAACATAACAACTACAGCATCATACTGCAATACTTTTCATAAGTTTGCCGTTCTTATTCTAGGTTTAACAACCGAATAACCACTTGGCAAATTAATTTTAGGTTTCTGTATACTTAAATAACATAATATTAAAATTACATGCATACCAAGATACTTTTAATTTTTTATTAAAAAAAAAAATCGCATATGGCAAATATTTAGCAATGAGAAAAATGCATTGCAATAAAAAATTTATGTTTAATAAATCTATCTAAAGTCAATAAATAGAAAATTAGGCTTCTTAAAATTCTTTTAAAATCTAGGATTATTACCTGTACAGGTAGGATGCGCACTAGTAAAAAGCAAGACCTACCGCCAGCCAAGCAGTGCAGGTGCTAACCGAAAGATCAAGAAGAACGACATATCAAAAAATCAACTTACCTACAATTCTCTCTCGAAAACGTTGCTAGCTCCCGGACTAAAACTTTGAATAAGATAGGTGATAATAATTGATAAAAATTTGGCATTAAAAGAAGATTGCAAAAATCGATTAGTAGAGTTTTTCGCAAATAGGGACTAAGACTTTTATGAGACAGGCATTATAAAGCTACCTTTAGAATAACAACAAATTAAAGAACAAAACGGTGCGTATTTGATCAAAATCAGATAATCCAAAATATGTTAAATAAAAGCTTGAAGTTAACGTAAAAATAATGGATGACTTTTTCCCCAACCTAATATATATATATATGTGGGACGAGCGCCTCCATGCCAAACTTATTGGGCATTCGTGAGAAGGATTGGTCGGTGGGCCCTGGATAGCTCAATTGGTTAAAAGAGCAGTCGCCCGGAAAGCGAAAGATCCGTGGTTCGAATCCCGGTCCAGTCAGTTCGGCGATCCAATTTTTATCAAGAATCCCATATATATATATATATATATTCTTCTTTTTTTCTTTTTTCATTCACGCGACGACTTTTGTAGCTGATATAAAAACCTTGACTTTATTACAAATTATTATAAAAAATGTAAATAATGAAAAATAATATGAAGAAATCGTAAGAA